TGGGATCCTGGATTTACGGGATCCTGGATTTATGGGATCCCAGATTTATGGGATTTACGGGATCTGTGAATCGCGGGGTCCCGGATTTATGGGATCCTGGATTTATGGGATCCTGGATTTACGGGATCCTGGGTTTATGGGATCCTGGATTTATGGGATCTGGGAATCACAGGATCCTGGATTTACGGGATCCTGGATTTACAGGATCCCGGATTTACGGGCTCTGGGAATCGCAGATCCCGGATTTCCGGGCTCTGGGAATCGCAGGATCCCGGATTTATGGGATCCCGGATTTACGGGCTCTGGGAATCGCAGGATCCCGGATTTACGGGCTCTGGGAATCACAGATCCCGGATTTACGGGCTCTGGGAATCGCAGGATCCCGGATTTACGGGCTCTGGGAATCGCAGGATCCCGCATTTACGGGCTCTGGGAATCGCAGGATCCCGCATTTACGGGCTCTGGGAATCACAGATCCTGGATTTACGGGATCTCAGCACACCAGATTTCAGGACGAGGGGAGCCCAAAGGGAGGGAATCACGGGACGCTGCCTTTGTGGGATTGCAGGACGGAGGGATCCCGGAATTCCAGATCCCGACAGGATCAGGGAATCCTGGGGCCGTGGAATTGCCGGGGCCGGAAAAGAGCTGGGAAAGCCCGGAGGGAGGAATTCCAGAGGGGCAGGAATTCCGGGCTCCCCGCGCCGATCCCAGGCAGCATTCCCGTGGTTTTTTGGGAATTCCTGGGACGGGGGCGGCTGCCGGGCGTCTCCCGGCTCCGGGGCCGGTCGGGACTCGCTCGGCTCCGGGAGCTTTCCCGAGGTTTTCCAGCTGATCCCAACAAACCGGCCCGGCCGGAGCCGCTGCCAGCGGGGAACGCCCGGCCCCGGGGCAAATCACGGGGGGATCCCGCGGGGAACCGCAGGGAAAGGTCCTGATCCCACAGGGAACCGCAGGAAAGGTCCTGATCCCACAGGGAACCGCAGGGAAAGGTTCTGATCCCGCGGGGAACCACAGGGAACGGTTCTGATCCTGCAGGGAATGGTTCTGATCCCACAGGGAACCACAGGGAAAGGTCCTGATCCCGCAGGGAAAGGTCCTGATCCCACAGGGAATGGTTCTGATCCCACAGGGAAAGGTCCTGATCCCACAGGGAACCACAGGGAAAGGTCCTGATCCCACAGGGAACCGCAGGGAAAGGTTCTGATCCCACAGGGAACCGCAGGGAATGGTTCTGATCCTGCAGGGAATGGTTCTGATCCCGCAGGGAACCGCAGGGAAAGGTTCTGATCCCACGGGGAACCACAGGGAACGGTCCTGATCCCACAGGGAACCGCAGGGAAAGGTCCTGATCCCACAGGGAACCACAGGGAAAGGTCCTGATCCCACAGGGAAAGGTCCTGATCCCACAGGGAATGGTTCTGATCCCGCAGGGAAAGGTCCTGATCCCACAGGGAAAGGTCCTGATCCCACAGGGAACCGCAGGGAATGGTTCTGATCCCACAGGGAAAGGTCCTGATCCCACAGGGAAAGGTTCTGATCCCACAGGGAATGGTTCTGATCCCACAGGGAACCGCAGGGAAAGGTCCTGATCCCGCAGGGAAAGGTCCTGATCCCACAGGGAAAGGTCCTGATCCCACAGGGAAAGGTCCTGATCCCACAGGGAAAGGTCCTAGATCCCACAGGGAACGGTCCCAGATCCCACAGGGAACGGTCCCAGATCCCACAGGGAACGGTCCTGATCCCGAACGGTCCCGATCCCACAAGGATCCCAAGGATCCGCTGCCAGCCCCGGGCAGAGCACAGAGCCCGGCTCAGGGAGGACAAACCCCGAGTTCTTCCCGGTTTTTTCCCCTCTCCAAGCATTTCTCCCTTCTCCAGGTGTTCCTCTCCCTTTACAACAGAATTTTCTCCTTCTCCAGGTGTTCCTTTCCCTTCCCGTGGAATTTTCTCCCTTCTCCAGGTGTTCCTTTCCCTTTCCACGGAATTTTCTCCCTTCTCCAGGTGTTCCTTTCCCTTTCCCACAGGATTTTCTCCTTCTCCAGGTGTTCCTTTCCCTTTCCCATGGAATTTTCTCCTTCTCCAGGTGTTCCTTTCCCTTTCCATGGGATTTTCTCCCTTCTCCAGGTGTTCCTTTCCCTTTCCCACGGGATTTTCTCCTTCTCCAGGTGTTCCTTTCCCTTTCCAACAGAATTTTCTCCTTCTCCAGGTGTTCCTTTCCCTTTCCCACAGAATTTTCTCCCTTCTCCAGGTGTTCCTTTCTCTTTCCCAGGGATTTTCCCCTTCTCCAGGTGTTCCTTTCCCTTTCCCATGGGATTTTCTCCTTCTCCAGGTGTTCCTTTCTCTTTCCCTCGGGATTTTCTCCCTTCTCCAGGTGTTCCTTTCCCTTTCCCTCGGGATTTTCTCCTTCTCCAGGTGTTCCTTTCCCTTTCCATGGGATTTTCTCCTTCTCCAGGTGTTCCTTTCCCTTTCCATGGGATTTTCTCCTTCTCCAGGTGTTCCTTTCCCTTTCCCTCGGGATTTTCTCCTTCTCCAGGTGTTCCTTTCCCTTTCCATGGAATTTTCTCCTTCTCCAGGTGTTCCTTTCCCTTTCCCATGGAATTTTCTCCTTCTCCAGGTGTTCCTTTCCCTTTCCCACGGGATTTTCTCCCTTCTCCAGGTGTTCCTTTCCCTTTCCCAGGGATTTTCTCCTTCTCCAGGTATTCCTTTCCCTTTCCATGGAATTTTCTCCTTCTCCAGGTGTTCCTTTCCCTTTCCACGGAATTTTCTCCTTCTCCAGGTGTTCCTTTCCCTTTCCATGGAATTTTCTCCTTCTCCAGGTGTTCCTTTCCCTTTCCCACGGAATTTTCTCCTTCTCCAGGTGTTCCTTTCCCTTTCCATGGAATTTTCTCCTTCTCCAGGTGTTCCTTTCCCTTTCCCACAGGATTTTCTCCCTTCTCCAGGTGTTCCTTTCCCTTTCCCACGGGATTTTCTCCCTGCTCCAGTTTTATTTTCCTCCCATCTCCAGGATTTTCTCCCTCTCCCAGGTTTCTTTTTCTCCTTGAACCCATTTTTCCCCATCTCCAGCGTTTCTCCCCTTCTCCATATTTTTTATCCCCTCTTCCATTTTTCCCTATCCCCGCTCCAGCTTTTTTTTCCCCCTTTCCCACCTCTTTTCCTCCCCTTTTCCAGACCTTTCCTTTCCCTGCTCTGCGATTTCCCCTTTTCTCCGACCCAATCCCGCCCCCACATCCCCTGAACCCCCCGGAAAACTCCAGATTCCCGATTGTTCCACCAAAATCCCCGCAACAGCCGGCACCTCCACCAGCTGCACCCGCTGCCTTTGAGTCTTCCCGGGATTCCCACAACTCTCAGGCACTCCCCGAGCCTCCGTGGGGGGATCTGGCACCCTCAAAACCCCGATTTTGGGCTGAAAGGGGCGGATCCCGGTGGATCCCAGTGGATCTCAGTGGATCCCGGTGGATCCCGAGGCAGGGCCTCACCCTCGGCGCCGATGGAGACGAGTTTGACGCCTTTGCTGGCGATGAAATCCAGGGCCTTGTTGACGTTGTTGATCTTGTGCACCCTCATCTTGCCCCGCTCCGGCTTCGGGAGCCGCTCGCCTGCAGCGGAGTCGGGGTTAAAGGATCGGGGTCAGGAGTGAGGGATCGGGGTTAAAGGATCGGGGTTAAAGGATCGGGGTCAGGGTTAAAGGATCAGGGTTAAAGGATCGGGGTCAGGACCAGGGATCGGGGTCAGGGTTAATGGATCGGGGTTAAAGGATCGGGGTCGGGGTTAAAGGATTGGGGTTAAAGGATCGGGGTTAAAGGATCGGGGTTAAAGGATCGGGGTCGGGGTTAAAGGATCGGGGTTAAAGGATCGGGGTCAGGGTTAAAGGATCGGGGTCAGGACCAGTGATTGGGGTTAAAGGATCGGGGTCAGGGTTAAAGGGTTTGGGGTCAGGGTTAAAGGGTTTGGGGTCAGGGTTAAAGGGTTTGGGGTCAGGGTTAAAGGATCGGGGTCAGGGTTAAAGGGTTTGGGGTCAGGGTTAAAGGGTTTGGGGTCAGGGTTAAAGGATCGGGGTCAGGGTTAAAGGATCGGGGTCAGGGTTAAAGGATCGGGGTTAAAGGATCGGGGTCAGGGTTAAAGGATCGGGGTCAGGGTTAAAGGATCGGGGTTAAAGGATCGGGGTCAGGGTTAAAGNCCACTGATCCAGGAGTGACCCCTGGAGTGACCCCACTGATCCAGGAGGGACCCCAGTGATCCCAGGAGTGACCCCAGAGTGCCCCCAGTGATCCAGAGTGACCCCACTGATCCAGGAGTGACCCCAGGAGTGACCCCAGTGACCCCAGTGACCCCAGGAGTGACCCCACTGATCCAGAGTGACCCCAGTGACCCCAGGAGTGACCCCAGTGATCCCAGGAGTGACCCCAGGAGTGACCCCACTGATCCAGGAGTGACCCAGGAGGGACCCCAGTGATCCAGGAGTGACCCCAGCAGTGACCCCACTGATCCAGGAGTGAACCCAGGAGTGACCCCACTGATCCAGGAGTGACCCCAGGAGGGACCCCAGTGATCCCTGGAGTGACCCCACTGATCCAGGAGTGACCCCAGGAGTGACCCCACTGATCCAGAGTGACCCCACTGATCCAGAGTGACCCCACTGATCCCAGGAGAGACCCCAGTGATCCAGGAGTGACCCCAGGAGTGACCCCACTAATCCAGAGTGACCCCACTGACCCCAGGAGTGACCCCACTGATCCAGAGTGACCCCACTGATCCCTGGAGTGACCCCACTGATCCAGAGTGACCCCACTGATCCAGAGTGACCCCAGGAGTGACCCCACTGATCCAGGAGTGACCCCAGGAGTGACCCCACTGATCCAGGAGGGACCCCAGTGATCCCAGGAGTGACCCCAGAGTGCCCCCAGTGATCCAGAGTGACCCCACTGATCCAGGAGTGACCCCAGGAGTGACCCCACTGATCCAGGAGTGACCCCAGGAGTGACCCCACTGATCCAGGAGTGACCCCAGTGACCCCAGGAGGGACCCCAGTGATCCAGGAGTGACCCCAGGAGTGACCCCACTGATCCAGGAGTGACCCCAGGAGGGACCCCAGTGATCCAGGAGTGACCCCAGCAGTGACCCCACTGATCCAGGAGTGATCCAGAGTGACCCCACTGATCCAGGAGTGACCCCAGGAGTGACCCCAGTGATCCAGAGTGACCCCACTGATCCAGAGTGACCCCAGGAGGGACCCCACTGATCCAGAGTGACCCCACTGATCCAGGAGTGACCCCAGGAGTGACCCCACTGATCCAGAGTGACCCCACTGATCCAGAGTGACCCCACTGATCCCTGGAGTGACCCCAGTGATCCCAGGAGTGACCCCAGTGATCCAGGAGTGACCCCACTGATCCAGCAGTGACCCCAGGAGGGACCCCAGTGATCCAGGAGTGACCCCAGGAGTGACCCCACTGATCCCTGGAGTGACCCCAGCAGTGACCCCAGTGATCCAGAGTGACCCCACTGATCCCTGGAGTGACCCCAGTGATCCCTGGAGTGACCCCAGTGATCCAGAGTGACCCCACTGATCCAGGAGTGACCCCAGTGATCCAGGAGTGACCCCAGGAGTGACCCCAGTGATCCAGAGTGACCCCACTGATCCAGAGTGACCCCACTGATCCCTGGAGTGACCCCAGTGATCCCTGGAGTGACCCCACTGATCCAGAGTGACCCCACTGACCCCAGGAGTGACCCCACTGATCCCACTGGGAACAATCCCAGGTCACAGATCCCACTGGGAACGATCGATCCCAGGTCACAGATCCCACTGGGAACAATCCCAGGTCACAGATCCCACTGGGAACGATCGATCCCAGGCTATCAATCCCACGGGAACACCCAATCCCAGGCTATTGATCCAACAGGGAATGATCGATCCCAGGTCACGGATCCCAGTGGGAATGATCGATCCCAGGCTATCGATCCCACAGGGAATGATCGATCCCAGGTCACAGATCCCACTGGGAACAATCCCAGGTCACAGATCCCACAGGGAATGATCGATCCCAGGTCACGGATCCCACTGGGAACGATCAATCCCAGGCTATCGATCCCACTGGGAACGATCCCAGGTTACTGATCCCACTGGGAATGTTTGATCCCAGGTCACAGATCCCACAGGGAATGATCAATCCCAGGCTATCGATCCCACTGGGAACAATCGATCCCAGGTCACGGATCCCACAGGGAACGATTGATCCCAGGTCAAGGATCCCACTGGGAACAATCGATCCCAGGCTATCGATCCCACTGGGAACAATCCCAGGTCCCAGATCCCACTGGGAACAATCGATCCCAGGTCACAGATCCCACTGGGAATGTTTGATCCCAGGTCACGGATCCCACTGGGAATGTTTGGTCCCAGGTCACGGATCCCACTGGGAACAATCCCAGGTCACAGATCCCACTGGGAACAATCGATCCCAGGTCCCGGATCCCACTGGGAACCGGATCCCACAACCCCAGCCCCCGTTATTTGCAGAGCTGCCATCTCTCCACCCCAACACCCGCTTTTCGGGCCGGATTTCGGGATCAGGCCCCGCTCCAAACACCGGCACCCAGCCCCAAATCCCCGCGTCCCGGCACGACCCCGGTGTCTGGGGCGGCTCCGGGCGCCGCCGGGACTTTGGCCGTGCCAGGCCCGGCAGATGCCAACGCCGGGCGCGGCCGGGCGCGGCCCCTGAGTCACCGGATCCCGCAGGGATCCCGCAGGGATCCCGCTCCAGGATCCCTTCCCAAGCCTGCCCGGAAAATCCCCAAATCCCACCCCAAACGCTCCTTCCCAAAAAACCCCCGGGAATTTCCCTGCCGAGGGAATCCTGGCTCTTCCCAGGGGGATGGGAACAGCCCCAAAATCCTGGGGTTTCCCCCCAAAAATCCGGGATGGATCCCAAAGCAGGAGGGGGAGGGGGAATCCCCGCCAGGATCGACCCCTCCCAGCAGAAAAATCCATCCCAAAAACGCCAAAAAAAGGAGATTCCGCAGGGGCCTCTGGAATTTCCTTCCCACGGAAGCGCTGGAAAAGCCTTTTCCAGGCATTGTGGCCATGGCAGCGGGGCCGGAGCGGGGACCCCCCCCCGAAATCCGGCAAAACGCCGAGACCACCCCCAAAAATCCCCAATTTCGGGGCTGGGGAGGAAGGGTCTGCCCCCGAAATCCGGGAAAACGCCGAGACCACCCCCAAAAATCCCCAATTTCGGGGCTGGGGAGGAGGGGTCTGCACCCTGAAATCCGGGAAAACGCCGAGACCACCCCCAAAAATCCCCAATTTCGGGGCTGGGGAGGAGGGGTCTGCACCCATTTCCGCCTCCGATCCCGGGTTTGGCAGGAATCCAGCTCGGTCTGCCCCCAAAATTGGGGATTTGGGGGATGGAAAATGAATTTTTCAGCACAAAATTTGGGATTTCGGGGATGGAAAATGAATTTTTCAGCACAAAATTTGGGATTTCGGGGATGGAAAATGAATTTTTCAGCACAAAATTTGGGATTTCGGGGATGGAAAATGAATTTTTCAGCCCAAAATTGGGGATTTGAGGGATGGAAAATGAGATTTATCCACAAAATTGGGGATTTCAGGGATGGAAAATGAATTTTTCAGCCCAAAATTTGGGATTTCAGGGATGGAAAAGGAGATTTATCCACAAAATTTGGGATTTCAGGGATGGAAATTGAATTTTACCCCCAAAATTTGGGATTTCAGGGAGGGAAAATGAATTTTTCAGCACAAAATTTGGGATTTCAGGGCTGGAAAATGAGATTTATCCCCAAAATTTGGGATTTCGGGGATGGAAAATGAGATTTATCCACAAAATTTGGGATTTCGGGGATGGAAAATGAGATTTATCCACAAAATTTGGGATTTGGGGGATGGAAAAGGAGATTTATCCCCAAAATTTGGGATTTCAGGGATGGAAATTGAATTTTACCCCCAAAATTTGGGATTTCAGGGCTGGAAAATCAATTTTCCTCCCCAAAATTTTGGATTTGAGGGCTGGAAAATGAATTTTTCAGCCCAAAAAAATCCTGGGATTTGAGGTCGTTAACGAATCCTCGTTAGGGCGGGAATTAATTCGCCAAAATTCCCGTTAAAAATGAAAATTCCAGAGGGAATAAAAAACCCATCCAGGCGTTCCCCAGGGCTCGTTAGTGGGGGTTAATTAACATCATTTGCATAATTAACATAATTAACGAGGCGCCCGCTTGT